TTTACACTTTTCACCAATGGTGGTGCCATTCATGAAAGCCCTATTAAACTATGTCAGTGGTTGATTGATAATTATATTCACAATTATTATTCTTTTCGATACAATTATAAAACACTGCTTTCAAAACAAACCTAAGCCTAATGTAGTGAAAAATTCACTGTGGTTCACTCAGCCATAGTCACAGTGGCATTTTCAGAAATAATATATTTATAAATATTATGATAATATAATAACATTTTATTTGCCAATAAAGGTCTGAAAATTTCTTTTTTGTATTAAGATTATTAAGAAGTTTTCTCAATAAAGATTGCTCTAGATTGGAAACCTTCCCCCGAAACAGAAAATAAACATTTCCCTGTTCTGCTATATGTGAAATACTTTACTGTACTAGACACAATATGGCATAAAATAAATGTGTTAGGCATAGGTTTTAAATTGACGTGCATGATGACAAGAAGCACAACCTTTAGGGGGCAGAATATTGAATAGATTTTATTCAGATGATTTTGACAACCTGGGCATATGGTGCAGTGATTAGTGGATTCACCTTGTCAGGAGGTCAACTGCTTACTAAGAAGCAAAATTGGAGTACGAGTACATTCTGTCAAAACCACCAACCAATGTTGTATTAAGTGTGACAGAATAGCCTATCGAGCTATTGGTCCTATAAACTAACAGTCTAAGTTAAGTGCTAAGGGCATAATAAAACAAGTAACAGATTGTGCAATGATTAGCTCCTTTCTATCATGTATCAGGCACCAAATGAAACAAGCACATGTGTACTAGCGTTTTTTGAAAACATATTTAGGACATCACTGATGATAATGTCTACTGTATGCAGTAAAGTGTGCATAGAATGATACATTGCTTGTTCCTGTTCAGCCGTAAGTTTCTTCTTGGTGTTCCTAGTATAACTGGCAGTTTTCACCGTATCATCAATTTGTATTCTAGCCAGATTTGATGAAAAATTGGGTGATGATTTTACCTGATCAGAAAAAGCATGTTATATAGTTCAATCCAATTAAAATATTAAATAAAATATTAATATCTTTTTTATTTTTTTAACTATTCATATATATTTATATTTATTTTATTAATTCTAATTTTGTTAATTTTTTGACAGCAAAAGTTTTTGGGGTTTTCGCGACCAGACAACTACAAAAATTGGAATTAAAGAAATAAGTTTTAAAAATAAGAATAAAATCACCAAAAAAAAGAAATAATTAAAGAAAATAAGAAGACAATAAGGTCTTTTAGTCAGTTTTGTTACACTATTGGTTCCTTTTCTTTGAGATGAAACATACAAGAACTAAAAATGGTTTGTTTAGAACAAAAATACATTAATCAGATTTGATTATGAAGAGCACGCTGAACAGGTAAAATTGACATAGCACCCTCTAGTGGCAGTTACCTGTATTATGTTGGGATGAGCTCATTTGCATAGCTTTTGTCAGGAAGTGACAAGCGTTGTGATTGGTCAGTCCATCTATGATGTAACCATGACACAGTGACTGCAGATGTTCAATCCCAAGAAGCTGAGACACTGATAATAATTCAAACACATTGCAATCTTTCATTTGGATCTAAAGGTATGGAAAAAATTATGAAAAAAAATCATTTTTTGTTCAAATTTGTTTTCAAATTATCACATTATAAAATTAAAATTTAATGATTCTGAATAAAAGTCGAGGAGTTTTATAAAACTATGAACTGCAAAAGTTTTGGTGAAACATTTTGTAAGTTTTTCTATAATTTTTCTATAATTTCTGTGAAAATTTTGGACCAACTGGACATCATTTCATTATATTTAAATATCTTGATCAACATTTAAAAAAAAAAAATTGAATTATGCAGATAATTTTGCAAATATTGACAAAAGTTGACATTGACGTTCAATCAGATCAGCTTCTTTGGCTGTTACATCTATTACTGCTACCCTTGTGAATGTTTTATGAGTAAATACATAATGGAATCTACTATGAAATGACAATTAACAATGTGGGTGTATTGTGTAAACGATTCCAAACCACGTGCAACGTGATGCGTCATACGCTTATTGACAGCTGCCATTCGCATGCTGTGGTTTAAAAAAAAAACGTGTTTGTGAACATCGTTTACAATGATAATAGATAATAGATTGGTTTTTTTTTTGTCATTTATTGTTAAAAATTTGAAATCGTTTTTTAAAGAATAGGTGTGCCTTATTTGGAAAAAACGTTTCCAAAAAAAGGAAGTACGTAACTCTGCGTGCATGCTCGTACGAGTTCATGTGATGTACGTGATGATTTTATGTAATGTCATACAATACAAACGTGTAGATTTATGTAATACATTTCACATGTATACGTTCACGAAATGCAGCAGTTTGATTTGAGTATTGCTCGCTCATGATGTTGCACGTTTTCCAAAATCCACCGTTCATTTCTGTAATTACAAACAATAATGGGATTCTATTTTCAAACTTTAATGTCATCAATTAGCCCAGCTAATTACAATATCTAATTAAATATTTCTGTTATTTATTTTTCTCATCAAGTTTATAATGTGAAGAGGACTGCATACTCTATAATCAATGCTCCACATAGAAATTATAAATGACGTTGATTTTTAAAATGAGACGCGACAGAATAACAGAAATCATCATTTTGGTATTTTTCTGCAAATGTGCCACACAACAGTTTCCATCATCCCACGTCACTATTGTCTCCCCTACAAGTATTGACAGCACATATAATGCATTTTGCCACAGAATATGTATTCCATGTTTGAGACAACCACAATGTGAAGGGCTTTGTGAGCATTTTGCTATCATAATGGCATTATAGTAAGATGATGAGTTATCCCGGCGCCAACCAGGCCTGGTCTAAGAAAAGCATCTGCACACCCTAAACCAAGGCCGTCTGTCAGAGAATGAATCTCAGCTAGTGGCTTTGGCCTCCCTATTAAGTCTGTGTCATCCATCTAGAGTTTGGGGCAAACCTTTTTTTTATTGTAACCAAGGTAAGATTAAAGTAACAATCCTGAGTAGAATGCAAGAACCATTGTGCTACTGGCGATTGTTTTTGTACACTTTACAGAGCCTACAATAAATTAATGAGACTCAAAATGTATGAATGGCATGGGCAAACCTGTTAATATTATGAGGTTATTACAAGGATACCTCAAAATACGCACGAAGACAGTACAGCCAAAATCCAAAAAGTTTAGAACAGAATCAGCGAACATCTCTGTGTGGAGTCGGTCAAACCCTGGTGGCAGCCATGTTTGTTTTTATTATTAGAGGATGCTTATGCGCATTTCATTCCATATCTGGAATTAGCATTTCCTTACATGTTAGAATGAAAATACCCCGTAAAATACCGCAAAATTACGGCATGCTGTAACTTATGGCGTTACGGTGACAGATGTATGATAATATTATATACAAAGTGTACAACTTTTTGTAAATTAGTTTGAAGAACATCCCAAACTGACTTGAGAATGACTTGTCATTTTGACCAATGTGCAATCTGCTAATCAGAAATGTCAGTTGCATGCACTGTGGTGTGGCATAGCTGACAACAGTGCATGGCAGATTTGGAGGGACAGCAGAGGGCACCCCCGTAAAACCATTGTGAGGTATACAACATCCAACATCCCATAATGCAATGTGGCAATGACATTATTGTAAAGGAGCTCCCCTTCTAACTGAAAATACTGCATTCATCAATGGTTAAGAACTATCAATAATGCACAACCAATATGACATTGAGAACGGTC